GAGCTGTTGCATTGTGGTAAACTGTGGTCAGTGACATGAGACAAAGTATATGTGAACTGCTGTATAGAAAGTGAATTTGCTCTGTAAATCTTCACCCAAATCACAATTTAAAAAAAGAAAAGAAAAGAAAGACGACACTTCTAAGACCAGAGGTACAATTAGTTGTAAACATAAGTAACTTTTTGAAGTCAGGTGGTAGACTTAAAAAGCCTTATGGCCTTTTTTTTCTCAGAGAAGTTAGGAATATAGGCACCTGGTCAGAGTGAGGAGGGAGGTGAGAATGAGGTAAGGAGTTTACAGAAAGTAGCCTAGTTTTAGAATTGGAAAGAAATCTTAAATAAAAGAATTGATATTAATGTTGAAGTCCCAGCTGGGAATCTTCATACATAACAAAGAACCTTCCGTTCAAACCCAGTAATTTTTCTTGTGGACTTCCAAGTCTATCATCCACTGACCTCATTTTACTTAAGAATTTTCACAGTCCTGATTTCCCAGGTATTGATCTCCTTTCCTACCATACAAACTTTCACTTTGCAATCACCTCCTCCTCTAATTGACAAAGTTCTATAGACTTCAAGAAACATACCTACCAAGCTGTCTTCCTTCATTTCTTTAAATAACCTATGTAACTAATATCCCTTTCTTTTCTTAAACTTTTTTGTTTTTATTAGTCTTCTTTATTTACTTAATTGTTGATATTTTTTTGTCATGCTTGCTGTCACTGAAAATAGCCTGTAGTTTACTGGAATAATTGGTGTGTGTGTCTGTGTGTCTGTTTGTCTGTGTGTTTTAAGTTCCCCTGACTCTGTAGGCAGTTTTTAGGGCTAATCTTAAAGGTTTCATGAGTAGGCAATGCTGTGTAGAAAGCAGGCTATTAAGATTGTTAATATCAAATGTTGAAAAAAGGGTTTATCTTTGGCTCTTTCCCCCTTTACAGAAGTGTAAATTCACATACCATAAAATTCACCCTTTTAATGGATATAATTCAAGCCCTCTTCTCAGTTGCATTTATTAGTTTGACTTGTGATTATTTAAATTATTGCCTTGAAAGCTCTGACTAAGTGCTGTGGAATGATGTGAAAAGAAGCATGACTTACCCTTTGGAATTTTTTTTTTTTTTAAGATCCTTCCAAGGAGTGCAGGCTCTTTGACCTTTTAAACCGTTGTGTTCTCTAGAAATGTGTCCTCCTACTTCCCCAGTTTCCTTTTATATTTTCTATATTTTTCATGTGAAAAATCTAGGGGAAAAAGGAAAGAGACACTTGCAGTTTTGTTTTCCTTCAACTTTGTGTGTGGTGATTTCATTTTAAAACTTGTAATGAAAGTCTGCTCTTGTGAAAAAGAAATGATTATAGAAATGCGGAATTCTGTCTTGGTCTTGTTCCCTCTTCCTTCATAAATGGCGATGGTCTGACTTAATTGAGTTCAGGCAGCTATTGAAATGAAGAGTGTTTTTATCTGCTTCAGGTTCCAATACATATGAAGAGGCAGCTGCTTACATTCAGTGCCAGTTTGAAGATCTGAACAGAAGAAAAGATACCAAGGAAATCTACACCCACTTCACCTGTGCCACAGATACCAAGAATGTGCAGTTTGTTTTTGATGCTGTTACAGATGTCATCATTAAAAACAACTTAAAGGAATGTGGACTTTATTGAAGAGCATGGATATTAGTGAAAGGTAAAACTTTGAATGACTTAGTTGTAGTGCTATAGTGATGGCTCTTGGCCTTGTCAATTTTTTCTAATTAAGAATGTTCTTCTTTTCCAGTTATTACAGTGTGGAGTGTTGAGACCAGACTTCTTTTGCTGTTTCACAGGACAGCTGCAAGCATGAACGGGACCAGGGAATGGCAGCAGCATGCAGAATCTTAGCATTCTTTAGCACAATCTTCTGTATTAGGGAACTTTTAATTGACGTATGAGGTGATAAAGTCAGACATTGGAATTGGAACCACTGTAAAGTATGATTTGATCATCAAGCCATCAGTTGGATTTCATAATCTCAAATGTTTAGGGCAGATGTGAAGTTGAGGTGCTGCATTCCAGAACTTCAGTACGTAGCTTACTCTTTTTTTTCTCCTTCTTAACAAAACCACCAGTAGTTCATTTTTAAAGGGTTTTTTTTTTCCATCAAGAGAAGAATAACTTTACTAAATTTTATTTCTTTGTTTGCAAAAGAATCTTTATTAAAACACAAACAATGTTAACTATGCACATGATATGACCAGATCATCTTGAAAATACTCCTCTTAGTAGGAACTCTTTGTTTTTAACTCTTGGTATGGTCAGAATATAATATTTCTGTAATTACTTAAAATTCTTTACAATTCTTGGGGCTATGATTGTAGCTTTTTTGGATTAAATTTATGTTACTATCCTGCTCAAAGTACCATTATGGTTTCTAAACGGAAATTACACTGGAGAGTTCTGCAATACGATTCTAGCTCTCTCTTTTTTAAGCTTGTGGTTGAAGATTAACCTGGTTTATGCTGATTCCCAAATTACTAGATAAATACTGATAAAGTGTGATAAAGCCAGCTTCTTGGGTAAGACACACCCAGATTGGCTGCCAATGAGAATTACAAATTACTGAATTCCAAACCAACGACTTTGCTGCTACATATCTATTAAATTGACCACTTTGATTCTTGTGTGTTTGTCTCAGTCATAGGCAGTTTTGTAAAAGGTGCCCCTTGTTTTCCATCTTCATGGCCTTTTCTGTTGGGAGACATCGACAGTGTATTAACAGTGCATGCTTTCACTTTGTAAATGTGGTGCCAAATCCCTGTTTGCCATTGTTTTTATTGTAGCAATGTTAACTGTAGTAATTCTTAGTATGTTCTTTTGCTGAAACTGTTGCATTTTGGTACTATTTTCCACTTTGTCATGTGTATAGATTTTAATCTGTTATAATTGGCAGCAGTATTAAAATGGTGAGTAAAGAGTCCAGGTTTGCTCCTATTTGTAACTAGTCCTTTCTGGAAATACTTTCTTTTGTTCCTTTTTGCCCCTGCTGAGTGTGCTTTGGCCTTTGTCTGAGAATGGATGTAGGTAGAAGGGTTCTCTGAGGTCTAGGCCTTTGGTGTAATACTGTTGTTGAATCATTGCCTAAGACTGAGGGTGTTCTGTCATATCTGTATAAGTGATAAGCAGTCAATCCATTTTCCAGATTTACATTTTGTTGTGTGGAGAGCAGTATTCACTGTAGCCTACAGGTCCTTTTGTATGATGTACAGCAAATGTCATTAAATATTGAATGGTCCATTGGGGGAAGGCAAATGAAGAGAATGCATGAGTGCATTTTCAGCGTTTCAAACCAGTAGTTTGAGCAGTGCCTTTTGGGATCCAGTCTTTTTGGATTGGATTCTATTTCATCTTTTCATGTGACTTTTTACTAATTGAAAAAAACAACAGTTGATGGTCACCAGAGCTGCTTCAGAAAGCAAGCTACAGTAGTTCAGTGCCTTTATTGGTAATTTTTCTTTCTTCTTCTTCTTTTTTTTTTTAACTGTGTAGATGGTATAACTGTATTTATCTAACAAATTTTTAGAGGTGGGAAAACTTGATCTGAAAGAAAGAAAATGATCCTTTTCAGTTGCCCACTGACTTATGCCCACAATGTAAATAGAGTTGATAGTTCTTACTTGTTCATTTTGAATATATCTTTTCCTTATTTCTGTAATACAGGATCATCTAGAAAAGAGAACTGGTGGAATATTGTTTTAAACTGGAGTCTTTCTAGTCTCTGGCCTAATGAAATGGTGGTGTTGATTATCTAAAATAACAGATAATCCAAAAAAGTTAATTTTACTTTGGAATGCATTTGTATTTTCATTTTGAATATGTATACCTGATATATTCACTGTTTGAACCCTTCTTTAGTGAAAAATAGTAGTTCTCTCTACGCTATTTATATTTGCTGTATGTTTTTACAAAGACCGTCCCCACTCCACCATCCCAAGTAACCTTTCTGAATGCACACATATCCTTGACAGAGAGAGGCAGTTTAAGTCAGTGGTTCTTAAATATGACTTAAGTCAAAGTCATGTGGACCCATCTCAGAGTTTGACTCTTGACTGATGGGCTTGCGAGATACAATTTTTAAAAGGTGATATTCTGATCATCATCCGGGTTTACAAATCACTAATTTTTGTTTTGAAATAAGAGATCTTTTCTTATAGCAGAACTAGAATGTGGCAATGAAATGGTAAATCTAATAGTGTAGTTTCAGAAAAAGGGTTGATGTTTGTCGTCAAAGAGGCTAAAAGCTACCTTGAAACTTTTCTCTGGAGAATGCTGGTGATATATGATGGATAATATTTCAGAATTCAGGTGACCAGGCTTTTTCTAAGAAGTCAGCACACCCAAGAAAATGAAAGTTTAATGAATAAAGAACAGTAAATAGACCCTAATAGGAAAGACTGCAACAATGGCTTTGTTTTCTTGATAATATCTTCACATGAGTAAAACCTTGGGCTATAGAATTGCTACTCATTAGTCTCGGTAAAGAGGAATCATTCTACTCCTTAACAGCCAGTCTTCCCAAACCATCCTTGTAAGTTCAACCTTGCACAGATTTCACATTCTGATGTGAAAATTGTAAGAATCTTCACATTAGATTTTGAGATGACATTTTCCTCTTGGAGAGTTTACATTCCAAATCTTCAGTTCAGTGTATCCTTTTTAAAAAATTATTTCCACGGATGGATTATTATTTTTCATAAGGTACTGCTTATTTCTGACCACACTTTTGAAAAATGGTTTTCTTGCTTTGTTTATTTTTTTATTCTCATTTGTATTCTGTTTGTATTTTATTATATGCACGTTTTGGAGTATTTAAAGAATAACTGCTAGTCCTTCTCATTCTTGCGTTCACCATATATTCTTATACCATGGCCATTATTCTCTGTTTTGTAGCTGTGATTTTCTGGGGACATTGCTTAATGCTTGGCCTGACTAGTCCCTTCATGTATTTATCAATTTGCTTAGCATTTGTGACACATTCCTGGGGTTTCCTGTGGCGGGACTTCTTGCTGTACTGGCAGTTACACTAATAATGTAAAGTTAGTCTTTTAACAGTTAACAGTCTGCCTTTGATCCTTTTCCTTCCAGGTGCTCAGGAAGTCACAGTTCTCTACTTATTTGTGCAGATCTCAAATAGCACTAATTTCCTTCAGTCTTTACTTTTAAAATCATTCCTTGTTAGTGTAATACTGACTATGAGAAGAAAATTATCTTGGTTTTCCAGTATTGCCAGGTAATTAGGCTTCATAGTATAAATCAGAATTCTGACCTGGAGCCACCATGGCTTTTCATACAGCTTTTATGGCCATCATATTTTGTTAAATTGCTTCCAGCAAGTAAAAGAGAAAAGCAGGCTTCCAAGAGGCCTGAAATTGAAAGTCAATCTTGCTGTCAACTATGACGAAGTAAGAGTTAAAGAGACACTAGAGAATAACTTCCAGGATGGCCAAGGTCTTTGTTCTTTTATCTTTGGTTTGTTTTTAATTTTTTTTCTTTTGCCCATTTTTCTCATTACCTTTCAAGAGTTGCTTCTGCTGAGAATGGTGTACTTCAGAACAAGTCAGGGCCCTTCACTGCCATCAAGTTGATTCCAACTCAGTGAAACTATAGAACAGAGTAGAATAGCCCCATTGCTTTCCAGGGCTGTGAATCTTTACGGAATCGAACTGCCTCATCTTTCGTGGAGCAGCTGGTGTGTTTGAACCACTAACCTTTGGGCTGTCAGCTGAATGCTTTACCCACTGTGCTGTCCGGGCAGGACACTTTTTTCCTGGTACTTTGTCAGGGCTGTCCGACCTGACCCAGCTCTTCTCAGGAATAAGGATATGTAAGAAATATGATATAGCGCCGTTAACCTCGAGGTGCATGATTTAATAAATACAGAGTCTCTGGCTAAAGCCTACTAAATTAGGATAACTGGGACAAGTCCTGGGAATCTGTATTTTTAATATATTTTTCAAGGTGATTCTGAGGCAACCAACTTGGGTCATCTGGAGGCAACTGAGTAAGACCTTGTATCATACCAAAAATCACTTCAGTGGATGGATAACCTCAAAATCACTAGTAAATGATTTAATGATTTTTATTTGCCAACAAGAAGCAGCACTTTTTGTACATGACTAAGTTAAGGTACATGCCACCAAAAAATTAGTATGGAGACTGGTCAAAGAGATATTACATTTTAAACACAAAAAGTTAGCTTTTATACAAAAGATTAAGAAACGTGGGGTATCTGAGCATTTCTTTTCATTCAGCTTTTTTCACTGCATTTATTTATGTAGTGAAAATTGAAAGATAACACCTACCACACTAAAGATAAGAAAATCCTGTAATAGAGATGAGTGTATATATAATAACATTGTTATTTATTTACAATTGGTGCATAAAGAGTAAAACTGACTAGCTGTAAACTATGAGAGTCTTTTTGAGAGGGCTTGGGAAAGGGTAGGAAAAGGAACGTGATTGAAGAGTCGACTGTAAAAGTGTTTGTCTGCTCCAATGCTCCTGGCTCCTCTTACCTGAAATCTAGGGGAAATCAACAAGGTAGGAGTAATAGTCAAATATTAATAAATAGCTGCCTAGATACTATCTCAGTATGTGAGAGCTTTGGCACCTGGAATATTATATTCTGTATATACAACCAGCTTTGCCTAGCTTCTCCTAACCTCTACTCCCCATCCCTATACTCCTTTGGTTTTTCCACACATTTTTATTAAGAGACTTGTTGTTTATAAGTAAGAGAGAGTCCCATTAGACATGACAAAACTTCAGAAGTTTCTAACTGTTCATTCCTACTATACAGGGTAAATGTCCTGAGACTTCGACAGAATCTTACAAGGTGGGAGGATTGTTTGGAGTGCTGGTTTCTGGTGGTTTTTCTCCTTCCAACAGGCTATCAAATCTTGTACAGGCCACTTTTAGTCGTAACATCCCTCATCTGTTACCTAATGATGGGTTAAGTTATTCCTTCCAGCTATGATTCTGATTTCTGTAAGGTAATATATTTGAAAGTGTTTTACAGATTTCTTTTTAAGATACTTAGGATTATGCTACACTGAAGAAAGGCGGTTTCCTAAGGCAATGCCAACAAATGTATTCATTGTAGCTGATTATCTTTTCTCAGAATCACTTTCCCCATATTCGTTTTGAAGACCTGAAATGAAGTTCAACTATAAATTGTTGTAAAATTTGTGAAGCAAGGTGAAAAAGTCTTTGTTTTGCATTTAAATCATTTTATTATCTTCTGTTCAGACTAGTGTGTGCTTTTTCATGGCCAAGGGATAGAGAAAAGCTCCCTTCTGCAATCTCCAGTATGACTGTTGGCCTCATGGAAATGTCTTAACACTTATTACCTAGCAGGACCACCAGAGGCACTGGTACACTTGCCGTCCCTGGCTCAACACTGAAGTCTTGCTGGAATCTGTGCTCCAGGGGCTATGCTGGGTAGAGAGAGCTGTGGGAGGTAAGAGCTCCTCACCCTTTACCGCCTTCACCCAGCATGGCTGGCACCCTTTGGTCCACGGCATATCTCCAAGTGTAGACTGGGTTTTGAATGCTGTTACGCTTCATCTTGAGGAGAGAAGGTGGGAGATACCCTGTTTCAGAATAGTTGGGATATATGTAAGTGAATTTTATAATCAGAATAGGACTCTTAGGAGTAAATACATCTTTCACGTTGCTTTTAAGACTGAGTTTTTCTGCTACTCCTTTTTGTCCACAGAAGCATAAAAAAAGCACATTTCTAGTTACATTGAATTTTTTATTTAAAGAAGTCATCAGATTTATATGAAATGGAACCTAATTCACACTTGGTTTGCTATCATCAGTGTCTCTGTAATCATTTGTGCTGGGGAAAAGTCTTAATCTCTGTCCTCTAACATGTGACCAGGAAATTATACCTTCAGCAAATACATTGTTATTTTGTG